GAGATCTTCGCAACTGTCGCCACTTTCGTGGGCTCTTGGGAGACCCAGCGGAGGTGGGTCCCATGCGGATCACCTCGGGACCTCGCCGCCCCCTGGGGGTCTTGCGATCGGCGCAACTGTCGCCACTTTCGTGGGCTCCTGGGAGGCCCAGCGGAGGTGGGTCACACGCGGATCATCTCGGGACCTCGCGACCCCCTGGGGGGCTTGCGATCTGTGCAACTGTCGCCACTGTCGTGGGCTCTTGGGAGGCCCAGCGGAGGCGGGTCCCACGCGGATCCCCTCGGGACCTCGCCGCCCCCTGGGGGGTCTTGCGATCTGCGCAACTGTCGCCACTGTCGTGGGCTCCTGGGAGGCCCAGCGGAGGTGGGTCCCACGCGGATCACCTCGGGACCTCGCCGCCCCCTGGAAGGCTTGCGATCTGCGCAACTGTCGTCACTTTCGTGGGCCTGGGAGGCCCAGCGGAGGTGGGTCCAACGCGGATCACCTCGGGACCTCGCCGCCCACTGGGGAGCTTGCGATCTGCGCAACTGTCGCCACTTTCGCGGGCTCCTGGGAGGCCCAGCGGAGGGACGTCCAACGTGGATCACTCGGAGGTACGTCATACGCGTTTCTTTCAACGCCCCTGTGTTTCGATGTTGTATATTTGCCGTTCCTCTCCTTGCTGCGCTCTTCTGAAATTACTGCTGGGTGCTCTTCTTTCTTGCGCACTGCGGGTCCTTCAGAATGCCAGTCAGCATTGGGTGGTCCTGAGTATAACCGCCACATGGATAGAAAGGTTTGGGTACGTCACAGGGAAAGGTTTTTTTCTTCTTCCTCCTCTTCGTCATCATCTTCTTCGTCCTCTTCTCTCTCTTCGAACACCAGGTCGCCAACCCTCAAAACCGCAGGGATTAGAGAACCCCGCGGGGAGCAAAGCACTCCGCCCGGAGCGCCAAGCATCTCTGTTGATGCCGTTTTTTTGTCGTCTTCGATGTTAGCGGGGATCTTCTGACCGTCATCATCTTCTTCGTCCTCTTCTCTCTCTTCGAACACCAGGTCGCCAACCCTCAAAACCGCAGGGATGAGAACCCCGCGGGGAGCAAAGCACTCCGCCCGGAGCGCCAAGCATCTCTGTTGATGCCGTTTTTTTGTCGTCTTCGATGTTCGGGGATCTTCTGACCGAGGTCAATCCAGACCTGGGTCAGCAGGAAACCAAAAAACTGCAATGCAGGACAAAAAAACTGCAACGCAGGTCTTCGCAAACCCGGGTCAGCCAATATGCGCGGCCGCCTCGCGGCTCGCTGACCCGGGTCAGCCAGGAGTGGGTCTTCGCAGGATCCTGCAGGATCTGGTGCCCTGGCTGACCCCTGTTTGCACTGACTGCAGACCCCCGTCTCAAGGCTCCCGACCCGACCTCCCGACCACTTTGAAGGGGAACTGGGACACACAAATAAATAGACACAAAGAACCAGATTCCCCATATGTTTCCATCCTTGCTGGGTTTCTGTCTTCCCCCCCACTTACCATATTTTCCATATTCCCTACCTAGGCTCTGCCTAGAACGGTTCTTACTCTCTTAGCTTAAAGGGGCCGGGCAGTGGAAAGCGCCCCGGGCGGTTCCCCCGGTCCCCGCCCCGCGGTTCCCCCAGTCCCCTGGGAGCTTTAGCTTTAGCTTTAGCTTAGCTTAGCTTTAGCTTAGCTTAGTTAGCTTAGCTGTAGCTTAGCGTTGCTGTTACTACTAATGCTGCTTTCCTGGGGGCTCCAACTCCTAGGCAGGGTCGCACTGGGATAATTTTCTGGGGAATCGACGGTGAATTGTGTCTGTGTGTTGCATTGACCCCCGCCTCGAGGCTCCCGAGATGTTTGGGCCTCCCGTGGGGCCCGCCTCCCGCGCCCCCCGGGGCGCCCCGCGCCGGGCGAGGCGCGGCGCGCCCCCGGGGCAAACACCACCGCTGCAGCTCCCCGCCTGCCTGCCGCGCGAGGGCTGCGGCGTGCGCGGAGGCGCGCTCCGAGGCTTCAAAGAGGCCCCATAGAGCGCTCGAGGGCTCGCGGAAGGAGCGAAGCGATTGAATGAGGGACTCCCTAAGATTGGCATCGCGATGAGGCGATGCCCAGCTTAGGGATAGGGATATGTTCCAGGCTGCGCGCTGGCCCCCCTCCTTGGCGCCCGGAGCGCGCCAGGGGCGACTCCCGAGGCGCCGCCGGGGCGGGGCCCGGCGCGGATCCAAGAAACCCGCCCGGAGCGCCAAAAATTTGTGCGCGCGACGCCCGCAGCACCGAGTCGGGGAGGCGTAAGTTAAGATCGGGGATGGACAGACCCCCCCTTTAGCAAGACGTGGTTTAGTGAAAACGACCTGAGGCCCAAACCTGGCGGGCGCGAGCCTGGAAAATAACGGCCACGGCGCCCTCTCGAGAACCGAAAACGGACAATTCACTAATCGACGTGTCACTGTTGGGGGTTCTGTCCACCCCCGATAAGGGGCACCTACTGGGAGGTCTTCGTCGGAAAGACTTCGGAGGCCGAAGCCCCATTTGGGGGGCCGGCACGCCGCAGCGGACCTCGGAGGGAGCGGGATTGAGCAGGACCAAGCGGGATTGGGGGGGATCAAGCCGGATCAAGCGGGATCTAGGCGGATTATAACAGATTTTGGACCAAGCCAAAAATCAGAATTTGACCTCCCAGGAACTGCATCCGAAGAGACGGAAGACTCGGGTACGGGGGACTCGGGTTGGCCTGACGGGGCCATCAAGAAGATGGCGAGACCCAATCTGAAACTTGACGCGAGCTCCCGCTGCAAACATCTCACGAACACCGGACCGTCAAAATCCAGGACGCGCTCGTCAAAAAACGTCGGCAAACCCGAGTTCGGGCTAACTCGAGTCCTACGTTTCCCCGACTGATCTGTCCACCGTGGCACGGCGACGGTGAGCAGCAGGGAAGAGGAGGCAGGCACGAGAGGCAGCGTGGAACACGGAGGGCGGGGAGGTGCAACGGGCAACGTGGACGATGGCACTGACAGCGGTCAGGAGAGCGATGACAAGAACGAGAGTAAAGAGGAGGGCCCGACGAGGGCCCCATACATCTGGCGGATTGACTTCTCCATCCGCTTCAATTGGTCAAGTGCTTCATATCTGCCCGTTGTTTCATGGCCAAGGTGCCCGAACACTGCTTTCTGCAGTCCGACTGGAGCCAAGAAACACAGGTGGATTGCGACGCCAAAGTTTTGGGAGAAGAGGGTTAGAGCGAGGGCGAGACAGAATGATGGGAAGGCGAGGCGGAAACTCATGTGGACTTTTGGGATGGCCAGGCCAGGGTCTCTCTCTCTCTCTCTCTCGCTTTCACTCTCCCCCTGAGGCGCCAGAGGAAGCGCGGGGATGGGCGGGGATGGGCCCGACCGGTTTCAAGTGGAGGAGGAAAAGGACGGAATGTGATTCGCACTCGTGTTAGGTCGGGCATGTCCCTTTTTGCAAGCGGATTTTGGACGGGAGTAAAACATGGCACCAACAAAAACAAAGTGCAACATACAATACAATAGTCGGATCATCGCTCCCAAGCTATGAGACGATGTTCTGACTAGTTGAATATTCCTCCTGCAGAGAGCCACGCGCGACTTAATAGCTGACGTCAGATGCATTGACATTATGTGCAGCACATCTGCGTGGGTTTTTTGGTTCGGCGAAGGCGCCGTCATGGGTGGTGGGAGATGGAAGTCCAGCGCCGACCCCGGACACCCGCGCGGTCCTGCGGCGGAAACTATTGTTTGTTTGAACCTTCAAACGAGAAGAGGGGAGAGACGCGGGATGGGGCCTCGAGGTTGGCGACTGGATCTGCAAAGGTAAAACACCTCCAGCCAACTATTTCCTGAACTCCAGGGGGGGCGGGGTGGACGCGGCCCCGGTAGAGAGCCAGGCATCCGCCCGACCCCCAAGGGGAGATGGGAGAGGGGGATGGGGAAAGAGGAGGGACGAGGAGGGGCGAGGGGGAGAGGACGGCGGCAGGGACACGGAACCGTGCTCGGCGGACGGAGGAGGGAAGGGGGAGGAGGGACGGGTGGTGGGGGCAAGGGGGAGGAGGGGGAAGGAGGAGGAGGAGGAGGAGGAGGAGGAGGTGGAGGAGGAGGAGGAGGAGGAGGAAGGAGGAGGAGGAGGGAAGAGGAGGACGAGGAGGAGGAGGAGGAGGAGGAGGAGGAAGAGGAGGAGGAGGAGGAGGAGGAGGAGGAGGAGACGGAGGAGGAGGGAGGAGTAGGGAGAGGAGGAGGAGGAGGATATGATGATGTGAGACCAGGCGGAAGCGCGTCGGTCGGGACGGCGCGCCCCGCCCCCGCGCCACGCGCGGGAAGGCCCACGGCCTCAAAGGACCACAAGCTGCATGCGGCGCCCCGATGCGCGGTGCACTGCCGCAGGATTGCACGGGACCTCGTCGTCGGAAAGCGGCGCCCCGGGGAGCTGGCCACTGCCGCTGGTAGGCGCCCCGACGAGCGGGCCACTGCCGCTGAAGCACTGACGGACAACAAGCCGAGGCCCCCCGGAGAGCGGGCCACTGCCTCGGAGGGCAGCCGCACCTCCAACACGCTGCGGCGCCACGATGAGCGGGCCACTGCCACAGGAAGAAGGGCCTCATCGTCGGAAAGCGGCGACCCGAAGAGCGGGCCACTGCCGCCGGTAGCAACACTCATCGCGGCTTGCGGCGCCCCGATGAGCGAGCCACTGCCGCTGAGACGCTGCCCGAAAGCAGGCCGGGGCGCCCCGGGGAGCGGGCCACTGCCTCGGAGGGTAGTCGTACCACCGCAAAGCTGCGGCGCCCCGCTGAGCGGGCCACTGCCAAATGAAGACAGCCCTGGGCGGCAGCATCGCGGCGGCCACGGCCGCGGGCGGGCTTCCAGCACAGCGTGCCGTCAGCGTCCCACGCGACGGCCCTGCCTCTCAAGTCCCCGTGCCCACCGCCGCCGGCAGCTCCCCTGCCGCGGCGCTGGGCGGAGGCCAGGCTGAGCTCCTGCCTGGCCCGCTCGGCGACGTCGACCTTATTCTTGCTTCTTGCTCCTTGCCCGCGAGTCTGAAGAAAGGGTGCCAGGCGCGGCCATGTGCTCCCGTGCGCGCACGTCGGCCTCCGTCTCCTCGACGATGGAGCGCAGCCGTTTGAGGGGCACCTCGATGGCAGCCATGTCCACGCCGACCGTCGGGCCAAGCACAGGCGGCAGGACCACCACGCCGGAACGGAACCGCTCAAGCGCAACAGGGAGAACGACGTGCGACGCGGCCGAGGCGCGGAGCTGCGCGAGCTCGGCGTCGATCTCAGCGGCGTCATCTGCTCCGTCTTGCGCGCCGCCACCTCCAGCATCGCCAGGACCCTCCGCCCGCGCGAACGCCTCCGCGAGGGCCGCGCGCGGAAGCGGGCAACAGCGGCCCCGCGGTGGCCCGCGACCGCCGCGAACGCGTCCAAGAAGCGTGCCGCGACTGGCGCCTCCGCGCGCCGGTACGCGCTGAAGCGGGCAACAGCGGACCCGCGGTGGCCCGCGACCGCCGCGAACGCGTCCAGGAAGCGTGCCGCGGCCCGCGCCCCCGCGCGCCGGTACTGCTTCCGGCGCCCGGCCGCGGGCCGGCTGGGGCGGCGGTGGACAAGCCTCACTTCAGTGGACCTCCCTTTAGTAACGGCCTGGGACCGACACCGACGGACCTGGACCCGCGAGAATGGCGGCCGTCACGCCCTCTCGCGAACCGAGAACGGCCAATTCACTAATCGACGTGTCAGGGCAGGAGGCCTACCCACCCCCGAGGTTGGGGCGGCGCCCGCACCCGCCGTCGGCCTCCTCCCACATCGCGCGCACGGAGGCGAGGGGAGGGAGAGCGGCCCGCGGCGAGGGGGGGGAGGAGCAGAAGGGCTCCCGCGGGCGGCGGGCTCGGAACGAGCGGAGACCCGGCCCGAGCGGGCGCTGGAGGAGGAGGAGGAGGAGGAGGAGGAGGAGGAGGAGGAGGAGAAGGAGAAGCCTCTGAAGACGACCCCCTTGTGATTGCACTGAGCATCGCCTGACCGACCCCTACCCCCACGGCGCTTCCTGGCCGAAGTTCCCCCCTGGATGAAGATGTAGGCTGTTCCCTGCGGGGCTCGAGGAGTATATCCCCAACTGGGGTGGTGGGGCGGTGGGGATCGGGATGAGGACTGGGACGGGGATAGGAAAGGGTCAAATGAAACTGGTGCACCGGAGAGGGGGGGAGCACCTCGCGGTGGAGCACCTCGCTGATCTCCTGCCAGCCGCCAGCGTCCTCAGGACGCTGCGCTCCGCATCCGTCTCCTCCGTCTCCTCCTCCTCCCTACCCGATCTTCACTCCCCATACCTCCTGATCCTCCTCCCTCCCAGGTCCTCCTTCTCCTCCTCCTCCAGGCCCCTCCCCCTTCCCCTCCCCACCCTTCCTCCACGCCCCCTCCTCCAACGTGCTCCCTCCTCTCTCCTCCGCAACCACCCCCCTCCCTACATTTCTGGTTCATCCCAAACACTCTTCCGTACTGTTTCATGTTCCTCCTCCTGCTCATCCTCCGACAAGTCCTCGTCGTCGTCGTCGTCGTCGTCGTCGTCATCGTCATCGTCATCATCACCATCATCAGCGTCATCCTCTTTATCATCCTCATCCTCATCCTCCTCCTCCTTCTCATCATCATCATCATCATCATCATCATCATCATCATCATCATCATCAGCAGCATCAGCATCAGCATCATCAGCATCATCGTCATCATCATTTTCTTCATCATCATCAGCATCCTTATCCTCATCATCATCCTCATCATCACCACCACCATCACCATCATCATCAGCGTCAGCATCATCATCACCATCAGCAACAACATCAATATCATCAGCATCATCACCATCACCATCATCACCAACACAATCACCAACACCAGCACCACCATCCTCATCCTCATCCTCATCCACACCAGACGGGGGCAACAAATCATGGCCTGGAGGCATGTGCGAGAACGAAGCCAGGCGGGTCACGAAACGCATCGAAACAAGAGAAGGGGTCCTCGGTTTGAGTTCCCAGTAGCTGTCCATCTAAATACGACCGATGAACGTGTTGAGGCTCGGGTGTTACTTCTGTGTTGGGAGAGAGGGTGGGAGTGAGCTAGACGGCTTGCAATCTAGGATATGTCTTGAGCCCCCCACATTTACACACTCTGAATACTACTCTCCTCTCTTCCCTGATGAAATCTGGAAGGTGCTCGGCCCCCCTCCCCGTACGTTTTTTTCTTGCAGACAAGATTCCCAAGAATTGGGTGTTCGCTTTTTTCAAAATGCTGATCCCGCTAAAACGCTGGCCTCATTTCCGCGCTTCCGCTCGTTCCAAATCGTGCTCCCTCTGCAACGCTGGCCTCATGCCCGCGCTTCCGCTCGTTCCGAATCGTGTTCCCGCTGCAGCGCTGGCCTCATGCCCGCGCTTCCGCTCGTTCCGAATCGTGCTCCCGCTGGCATCATCAATTCCAGTGCCATGCCACTGCATGCAATTCAATACAATGTGGCGCTCCGCTGTGCGATGCCATGCCTTCAGCTGCAGTGCAAAGATATGCAGTGCTTGACTACGCAGTGCCACGCCATGCTATGCCATGCTACGCTTTGATCGTCAACGCCATGCTATGCCATGCTCTGTTATGTGCCGCTGTGCGATGCCAATATTTGCGTTGCATTGCTTTGGGATGCAATTCTTCACTACGCAACGCCACGCCATTCTATGATATACTACGCTCTGCCGTGCTCTCCTGAGCCCTACAATGCCGTGCTCTACGATGCATCGCGCACCCTCTCGGGATCATTGCCCTGCTCGACATCCGACTGTGCGAATAGAGAGGATATCTACGGCATGGTAGGGAATGAGAGGGAGGGGAAGAACGTCAGATATGACGCGAGCGCGCCTAGCTTGCTCGACCCCCTCCCCTGCATCTGGACGGGGCGACAAACGACCGACTGGAGCGTCCAAGAAGGTCTCGGCGAGAACGCAAACAACCTTGATGTTTCGAAGGTTTCGCTCATGTTAGCCTCCTGGAGGGTGAACCCCGATGGGGAACCCCCTCTTCTTCGATCGAACTCCTTCAAGATGGCCCCAAGATGGCCCCCACGGCTTCGAAGAGTGCCCTAAGAGACCCCCAAGAGGTCCCAAGAGGCTTCCCCGAGGAAACCAAGACGTTCTTAAAGGCTCCTGGGACCGCAGGGCGTCCTCTGTTATCCGTATGGTTTCGTCCAAACTATCCGCATGGTTCCTTCTGTTATCCGCATGGCTCCGTCTGCAATGGCAGAGTCGGGCAGCGGAGAGTATATTTTAGACGCTTCGCGTAGCCCCACCAGAGTAGCCCCAACAGCTTTGTAGTGGCGGCCATTGGCTGCGCGCTGAGTGGTCCAGCCTTCAGCGCCGCCGGCCCTTGTTTTCCACCACCAGCAGCCGGTCCCCCGGGCTGGTGCCAGTTGTTTGTCTGGGGTGATGCTCGGAGCTTGGCGCCGCAAGGGCGACGTCCCGTAGCACTTGCACCACTGTGCGCTTGTTCTTCTGGACCGGGCGGCGCCTAGGTGCGTCACTGCAAATGTGGAGCATTTTGCTCAGTGCACGTGCACCGCACCTCTTGTGTGCAATTAGCCTGTACCGCCGTCCCGGACACGCTTTTTGCCGCCAGACCGTAGTCGCGCGGCGGCCGACCAAAAAAGTAGCCCCACCAGCCCATGCAGAGACGATGCCCCGGCGAGTTGCCCTGATCGGGGATGTGGAGGAGCACGCAGTGAGAACAAAGGCTGAGGAAGCCGTCGTACCCTATCAGGGAGAGTATGGATGAGGAATCGGAGGAGGAATAGGGGGATGGACAAGGGGTGGAAGGAGGAGGTAGGGGAAGGAGGGAGGTATAGGCGGATGAGGACGAGGAGGAGGAGAAAGAGTGAGAAAGGCCAGAGGACTCTTGGATGTATCTTGTGATCTCCTGAGAGTTTCTGGGGGGTCGTTTTGGGGGCCTCTTGGCCGATAGTAAAACGGACGTAGGGGCGAAACAGAACGGGGAGCAGTGGACTCGAATCGGCAAGCCTCTTCGGGAAAGATCAGCGCCACAGGAAGGGCTGGGTGGGAGGGATGGGATATCAGGCACGGCCCGAACGCGCCCAGCTTGCCCATTGCCCCCTCTGTGGCCAGACCCTCCCCCGTGCCTCAAACCATCGTCCCTCCTCCTCCTCCTCCTCCTCCTCCTCCTCCTCCTCCTCTCTCCTCCTCCTCCTCCTCCTCCTCTTCCTCCTCCTCCTCTCTCCTGTCGCCTCCTCCTCCTCCCTCCCCCTTCTCCCCCGTCCGCTCCGCGGCCTGCCCACGCTCGCTTAGGCCGCGTCCTTCGAGGAGTTGGCCCTCCTCGCGTCGTTCAGGCGGTCCCTGGACTCCTCCAGCAGCTCCAGGATGTCCCACTTCCACGGGATGGTGCCTCCCCCCGCGCTCCCTCCGCGGGAGAAAGGGAGGGTGGAAGAGCGCAAAGTCGGGGACCGACCCGTGACAGCAGAGCTGGGGAACCGACGTGCCGAGTCCCCATGGGGGGCGGTGGACATGGACACGGTTCGGCCCCGGCAGCTGGGCGTGAACGCTTCGTCAACTTGGCTCGCGCCGCTTTTTCAACGCGAGCCGCATCCACTTAGCGATGCGGTCTCTCTGGCGGCGGTCCGGGTCCTGCACCCTGGGCGGCAGCTCGCGGAGCAGGCCCTCGCCGCCGTGAGCGTCAGTGGTGTGCGCCGCGCAGGCCTTCAGGTGGGCCCTCTGAGCTTCCACGGTCTCGCGCGCATGCGTGCCCGTGCGCATGCATGCGCGCGCGTGCGTGTGCGTGTGTGTGTGTGTGTGTGTGTGTGCGTGGGTATATATGTCTGTCCGTCTGTATGTCCGTATGTATGCATGCATATATCTACGTACATGTGTGCGTATGCCTGTCTGTCTGTCTGGCTGGCTGTATGTATGTGTGTTCGCAAGTTTGCATGTATGTATGTATACATATATATATATATATATATATATATATATATGTGTTTGCATGTATGTATGTTTGTATGTGCGTAGGTCTGGTTGTACGTATGTGTGTGTGTGAATGTGTACACGTGAATGTATGTATGCATGCATGCATGTATGCACGAATGCATGTATGTACTTAGTTGTGGATATGTATATACATGCATGTATGTGTGTATGTATGGATGTGTGTATGTGTGTATGTGTGTATGTATGTATGTATGTATGTATGTATGTATGTATGTATGTATGTATGTATATATGTATGTACGTATGCATGTATGTGTGTATGTATGTATGTATGTATGTAAGTATGTATGTATGTGTGGGTAGGCAGGTAGGTCGGTATGCGTGTATGCATGTATGTGTATGTGTGCGTGTGTGCGTGTGTATGCACGTATGCATGTCTATATGCATACGTGTATGTGTGTGCATGTGCATGTGTGTAATGTGTGTGCGTATGTAGATGTGCATGCATGCACACATGTGTATGTGTATGCGTGTATGCATGCATGCATATTGCAGGTATGTATGTGTGTATGTATGGATGCACGTATGTATATGTGCATGTCGCTATGCGTGTATGTATGAATATATGCGTGCATGCATGTATGTCTGCGTGGATGTATGGATGTAGGTAGGCCGGTAGGTCGACAGGTAGGTAGAAAGGTGGGTAGGTAGGTCGGTATTCAGGCATACATGCACATATATATATATATATATATATGTATGTATGCATGGTATGTTATGTTATGTTATGGTATGCTCTGGTACATTGTGTCATGCCATGGTATGGTGTGGCATGATGTGCTATGTCGTGCTAAGGTTATGTGCTGAAATGGATGTATGCGTGTCAGAGGTATGCATGCACGCATGTGTGTATGAATGTATGTACGTATGTGTGTGTATGTAGGTAGGTATTCAGGGGTGTGTGTATGTATACGTGTGCGAGCGCGCGCGTGTGTGTGTGTGCGTGTGTGTGTGTGTGTGTGTGCGTGTGCGTGTGCGTGTGCGTGTGCGTGTGCGTGTGCGTGTGTGTGTGTGTGTGTGTGTGTGTGTGCGTCAGGACCTTCCGGACAACCCCTGGCCTCGGGTGAAACCAGGGAGAGCCTGGATGGCCCTGCAGAACACGGACCCAAAGGATCTTCACAGGTCCACGCAGGAGACGCTCTGCAGCGTAAAGTACAGCTCCAGGTCGGGGACAAAAGGCCCACCCAAGAGAAAGCCCTACGCATGAGGCAAACCCAGAAACACCAGTCACATCACCCCAGCAGCAGGAAACCCTCACCTGCGGCAACCACCATCAGCCCCAGCGCGGCCCAAGGGCCCGAGGCCGACAAGAGGCCACCACAAGCCGGCAGGCAGAGGAGAGGGCACGACGCACGCAGCCCGCTGGGGACCGCCACGAGCACCGCCAGTCGCACGTTGCCTCCGCTGGTCTCGCAACCATCCGCTGGTCTCGTCGTCCACCTCTCTGGCGCTCAGCTCGGACCCCATCGTTGCAGATGTGTCCGACGGAATCGTCGGCGTTTTCGCCGCGCTGCTCGGGATCGGCCTGCTCCTGCCTGTCGCTGGCTGAGGAGCGTGACCGGCTGCGCCTCCGCTGCCCCAGGGGCTCTGGCGCGCGCGCAGCTGGCTCGGCGGCGGCGCCGCTCGCGGCTGCCCATCAGGCGCGGGCCTCCCAACCAAAAACGAGCGAGCCACCCGCTGGTGCGCCATGAGTTGCATCATCTCGCAGTCGCGGTCGTCACCTTCCATCGCTCTCGCCGTGTGCTCCACAGGTCGTCCTCAGACCTCTGCCAATATCTGCCACCTTACACGGCTGGCGGCACGGTCGCCCAATTCGCGAACCAGTGCCTCGAGCTGCTCGGCGTGAAACGCCGTCATGACGTCCGCCATGCAGTTTTCCATCTACCCTGCTGGCGCGCCTCGTAAACACGCGGCCCGTCTTGTGTGTTCCACGACGTGCGCCCGCTAGCTACTGCGGCTGCTGTGGCGCGCCTCCTCGTCGCCGTCGCTGCCGTCTCGGCAGGCTCGCCGGGCCCGGGCGCATCGGCGCGGGCTTCCTCCTGCAACGGCGATCCACGGCCCCAAGATACCATCGAAGGACCACGCGCGAGCCGACCCCTCCTCCCTCGACGTCGCAACACCCTTCGCAATGTATGCCTCTCCATAAGATCCTGGGAACCCTTCCCCAGCCGAAAGCGTCTCGGTCACCCTTGAAGGGCCAGCCGCGCATGGTCGACGTCAGTCCCCGCGGCGAGGCGGTTTGATCGCACCGCGGCCATGTGCCCCTTCCGCCACCGCGCGCGGTAAGTCCGCAGACGCCGAGATCGCCACCTCCCTCCGCTCCATGCCTGTCGTCGGGCCCGCACTTCTGGTCGCGCCCGCTCTCCTGCGGGGGGGCCGCGCGGGGGGCGGTGGACCTTGTCGCTGCGGATTGTTGATCCACCTCGTCAGAGACCTGCGTTCAGAATTGCAAGTCATGGCTGCAAACAGGAACTGCTTGCGATCGGGCGAGCTGAGCCGGGCTATGGGGCCCCATTCGACTGGGCTCGCTGCGCCTCCAGGCACGGGCGCGCATCTCCGCCGCCAGCTGCTCCGTCGCGAGGCCCGTGGTCGCTCCGGCCCAGTCGACGGGCGCGCGCTGCAGCGCCTCCATCGCGCAGGTCTCGCCTCGGTGGCTCCACTCGACGCCCTGGATTCACCTCCTCGCCATCTGGCCATCTCCTGCTCGATGCGCGGGGATGGGCCCCCGTTTGCGCGCGTGGCGCCCAGGCGGGGCGCTCCCCCTTTGTCATCAGCTCGGGCAGGAAGGAGCAGCTTGCCGCGGGCGCCGCGCCCTCGCGAGGCCGCCCGGCCGTCGCAACTGCATTTCTGACCGCACCTCGGGCTGCAACGGTGGGCGGGCACGCTGTCGGGCCCCAGCGGGGGCGCAAGCCATTGGGCTTCCTGGCCTACGCTTCGCTCCGGCATTGGCCGCGAAAAGTAACTTCATCTTCATTGGCCACACCTGCCCAGCGTTGAAGCGACGCCACAAGTTCTTACGATGGGACCTCTCCACTCCAACCGCCTCTGCGGGATTGGGCCAGCCCTCGAAATGGGCCCCTCTCTGGCCATCGCCGTTGGTCGCGGCTGCACCGCGCGCTGCCCGCAGCAGGCGCAGCGCCCTGTTGTCGTGATCGGTGGGGGGCTGCGCGGGCGTCTGCCAGGCCGCGTCGGTGAACGCCTCGTCATCGTGAGCCCAACTGAGACAACCGTGGAAACATCTCAACCCTGCGGGCTTGCACGGTACCGTGTCGAGCTTGCGCCTGGAGCGCCTGGCGACGGCGACCTAGCCGCATCTGACGCACTGGACGCCGACTTGCTGGGTGCCTCGCTTGCTGCGGTTGAAGCTGTCAACATACTCGTCCCGCGGTGCTTTCGGCTCGTCGCGCGGATTATCTGGCGCCCCTACCTTGGCCTCGCTGCTGGCCTCCGAACCAGGCTATACTCGGTGGCGCCGCGACATGCACGTCGGCGCCCTGCCCGAAGGTGGGCGCCCGGACGCTTGCAGCATGGCCAGCGCGGCGAACGCGTCCGCCCGCAGGTTGTCGAGCCAGTGCTTTCCATCGAGCCCGAGGCCCACCGCCTCCTCCTGAGTCTTGTTCGACAGTGCCCCGGCGAGTTGGAAGGGTCGCAGCTGCTCGCCAGGCCCGGCGGCCGACGTTGTGGATCCCCATCCAGATATCAACGACCTTGCCGTCTGCGTCCGCCGTCTGAGCTTCCCGGGCACACCCCTCGAAGACCAACGACAAATAATTGTCTGAGGCCATGTGCGCGACACCTGGCGCAGCCCACCGCGACTGCAACGCCGCGAACCTGTCCCCGCGCAGGACCGTGCAAACTCGCCCAGGCACGATGCCATAGCAGGCTCCGCGCGGAAAGAAAATCGTCCGCGCCGAAATTGAATCCCCGCGCCCCCGCGGATGCCGGCGGGATGCAATGCGTCTCGCGCAAGCGCCCACGGCACTAGTAATCCTGGTCAGAGGCGAGGCCGCGCGCACGACGCTGGGCCCTCGGCCGCGCGGCGCCTTTCCACGGGCCCTGCCGGGTATCGCGTTACTTGCATCACGCCGCCGCTCTCCTCCACGGAGCGTCGCCCTCCTGGCCCTGACCCGCAACTGCTCCCCGTCCATCTCCGCGTAATATCCCTGCACCTACTGTGCTCGCCAAATCTGTATCCCGTCGGCCAGGAGGCCATCGGGCTGGCCCGGGTCGCCCAGCATCCCTGGGCAGGCACCATCTTTCAGGAGATGCGTTGCAGCGTCAGCCACGCCGCCGCGATGGGCCCCCCCCCCGCCATCGCCCACCTAGGGTTGCCGCCGAGCGCGTCGTCGACGTTTTCCAACGCGGACTGCGACAGCACTGTCGGATCCACTTGGCGAATTGCAGTGCCACCTGGCTCGTAGCGCAGACGGGGTCCAGTTGCGGGTGGGGCTGCGTCGCGAGGGCCAGCGCCGGGTGCCTCGCCAGCGACACCACTGGCAGCAGCACCACGCAACGCCATGGGGGCCAGTCCAGCGTGGAATTCCACCCCTCTCCGCCCGACCGTCTTGGCGAGGCTGACGATCGGACGCTTGCGCCCCATGAGGACCTCGATCCGCGCCCGTTCCTGGTGCTGACGAGGGCGCGCCGCGGACATAAGGTGGCCGAGGCTGCTCATCCAACCCTTGCGATTGACCTCCTTGCGCCCCTTGCGATCCGTAGTTCTGAAACCATCGCCCGAAGGCCACCGCGGCGGCCACGAACTCCACCTTCCCGGGCTGCCCCGGGAGTCTGAGGCCCTCGAGGTCCTGCAATTGGCCGCGCGACCCCATTCCATGCAGCGCGTGCCCGCCCTCCTGTATCCAGCAGACCTTCTACGTGTCAACGTCGTCTACCAGCAGCCTGGGAGGCGCGTCTTTCCTCGGGCGACAGGCTCCCCCCATGGGGCGCTTCGCGAGTATCGCTATGGCCGCAGTGGCATGGGCGCGTCCTGTCTCCGCCCCCTAGATGGAACAGCACGCCTCCGAGACGTGGCTGAAGGCTTGGGCCCCCCGCGGCTGCTGGCACGTGCAAATCGTCACCCGCCGCATCCCTGGTGGGAAGCCCACCTGTGGCCCCTCCACCATCAGGGTGGACGGGCGCGCCACCTCGAAGCACATCCATATGCTGGTACAGCGTGCCATGGGGCCGTGCCCCATCGCTTTGGCCATCTCTGACGGGCTGAGCCCAGGCTGTCACCTCCTCGGCTGGCGGCGGGGGCCGAGCAGGCTGGGGCGCCGCCGCCGGCGCGGGGTCGCCCAGATCCGCTGCCGTCGCCGCGGCGAGGACATGGCCGAACGCGGCCTCGCTCCCAGCGCGACAAACACACATCCGCCGCCAGCGCCCAGCGCCCCCAGGCGCTTGCCAAGCGCCCAAGCGAGAGACCGCGCACGAGACACCAAGCGAGAAACCAGGCGCACCGAGCGCAGCTGAAGCCCGCGGGGGGCATCTGGCCCTTGCAACCGCGGCAGCTCAGCGCGCGCCTGCGAGATCCCCGTGGGCGCGATCCCCTCGGCGGCAAGCGCGGTCGTGGACGCGTCGCCGCCATGTTGCAGCTCGGCCAAGTGCCGCTTCTGAACGCCCGGGGAAACCGTGCCCATCGCAAATGCGCCGTTGCCCTTTTGGAATTTGTTCTCGACCCCCCGTGGCCCCGCGAGCAGCGGATTAGCCAGCCGAGCTTCTGCCTGGGGCCCGTCGCGCTCCACCGTGGGCCGCTGGGCGCTGGCGGCGGCCTCGGCAACGCTCGGAAACGCGCGCGGGCCGCCGGGTTGCGCGGCGATCTCGCCGGCGTCGCCCGCCGAGCCCGCCCAGCCGAAGCGGGCGCCGCCCCTGGAGGGCGCCGCCTCGGACGGCGCGGCGGCGCCCATAGTTGTCGACGCGTTGCCTGACGCTGCGCGCTTGGAGGCGACCCGCAGCTGCCGACGCGCCCTCTCCCCATCGGCGAGCTGGGCTCAAAGTCAGAAGGCTCGCCCCCGCCCCCAGCCCTGCCTCCGCCCGCTCGCGCCGCCCCCGCATCGCCGCCCACGGAGACCGACAGCGCCGCGGACTCCGCGATGCGCGGGGTCGCCGCGGCCGCGGGGGCGCGGCGTTGCCGCGCGGACCAGCCGGCCAGTCGCCGCGACTCTAGATGCCCTTGCCGGTGGCGCAGTGGGCAGAGCGGTTGCAGCGCCCATTGGGCGCCCCCACCAGTCGCCGAGGCGCGGGCGCCGGCGCCGCGGCCTCGGGGGAATCCGCCCCTGAACGCGTTGCACTCGCGAGCTCCCGCTGGAAACAACGCCTGGAGCGGCGGGCAGGGCAAGGTAGCACCGCTTGGCTAGAGGCGGACCGGCGGCATCCATGTGGCTCACCTGAGAAACATGCATCTTGTGCGTGCGTGCGTGCGCGTATGTCTGCGCGTGCGCGTGCGCGTGCGAAGCGTGTGTGCATGTGCGTGTGCGTGTGCGTGTGCGAAGCGTGTGTGCACGTGCGTGTGCGTGTGCGTGTGCGTGTGCGTGTGCGCGTGTGCGTGTGCGTGTGCGTGTGCGTGTGCGTGCGTGTGTATGTGTTTGTGTTGCGTGTGTGCGCTTGCGTGCGTGCGTGCGCGCGCGTGCGGTCGTGCGCGTGCGCGTGCGCGTGTGCGTGCGTGCGTGATTGTGCGTGTGCGTGTGCGTGTGCGTCGTGTGCGCGCGCGTGGGCGGGTGCGCGTGCGCGTGCGTCCGCGCGTTCGTGTGCGCGCGCGTTTGCGCGTGCGCGTGCGCGCGCGTGCGCTCGCGCGTTTGCGCGCACGCGTGCGCGCGCGTGGACGCAAGAAAGGAGCTGCCAGCCGACCCCGAAGGGCGAGCTGACTACTCCCC